AAATCTCAAAAAATATTGCTTAAATGTATTTTTAATATTTTCTATAAATAAAACTCTCAAAAAACTTGATTCTAAAAAAAATATTTCTCATGAACTAAAAGAATTATACATCAAATGTCTTCTAATATTAAAGTGTAACATAAATATCTGTATGAGACGTATGATATCCAACATTTGTTAAACTCATTGTTGATATTTTTAACAAACTTTTAATCTCAACGCATTAGAAAACTTTTAACAAACTCATTGTTGTCTCTGTATTCAAGAGGATGAAACTTTTCTCTCTAAAAAAAAAATATTGAAAATTTAATAATAAAGAGTTAAATAGATATAACAAAACTATTCTTAAATTAAATAATTTATCAATGAATACCTTATTCATTTAAGATATATTTAAAAATATTATAAAAAAAACTTATTATTAGAAATGTACAGACTTTTCAATATATATAATAACAAGAAGAAGAATTATTCCTATTTTAAGAAATATGAGAATAATAAATCTTAATTTTACTTACGAAAATATTTGATCACTTAATTTAAAAATTTATAATTTTACTTAATCTTATCATCCAACTAAAATTTAATTCAATTTTTTTATAATAATAAAATATGTTTACTGCTCATTTAATTTATTCTCTATGTACACATAAGAGTATATATATATATATATAGATACATGTATGTAATTTTATCGAGTGATAGAGCTTCATTCCTCTCACTCCTGCTAAAAATAAATTATTTTATTAATAGATTAAAAATCAATCTAATAATAATTATTAAGTTATAATAAATTATTAAATTAATTTAGAGTTTTTATACAATAAATGTAATTGAAAAAAATTATTAGAAAGAGAAATTTACAACATTTAATATTTAAATGTTTTTAATATAAATTACAAATATTTTATATGCAAAGAATTATATATAAAAAAAATTATTCTTTCAAATGTTTAACACAACTATATTTTTTTAAATTTAAAATTTATATTGTCTTTTCTGATAAAAATCTTAATTCTATTAAAAAAATTTGTTATTTTGTGTCACATGTATACTGTGCAATACTTTTTCCTCTTCAGATCTTAAATTTTATTTTTAACACCTCTTCTTTCTCTCTTTCATCTTCTTATGCTTAAAATTCTATCTTCCACTCATTTTCAAATTTCAAATAATAAATAAATTAACTTTTTAAATATCTTTTTTTTATCTTTAGCATATGTAAACACAAAAACCAAAAGAACCTTAATTTTTAGAATATACTTTGAATTTCTAGAATAAGTTATTCGTATTAGCGAAAGTTTCAAAGGCTATAGTAACATGAAAATTAATAAAATAAATATTTTTACATTCAAATTTAATGGAGATAAAAAAAAGTATTTAGAAAGTTAGGTTATTTTTTATTTGAAATTTGGGGTGAATACTTAGTATTGGTGGTAAGAACATAAAATTTTAAACATTAGAAGATAGAAGATGAAAAGAAAGTAAAAAATGTATCAAAAATAACATTAAGGATCTAAAGAGAAAGATAATAAATTTGACATAAAATGTCAGAATTTTTTAACAAAAATAAATTTTTTAATAAAAAATAATCTATTTAAATTTTTTGTAAAAGTTAAAGGATTAAAGTTAAAAAAAAATTAAAGAATGAAATTAAAATCTTTAATATTACTAATTTTAGTTTTTACATTAAATCTATCTCTGCTGTGAATACAACAAGATTTATGTAAAAATAAAAAAATGAACAAAGGAATAAACAAACCAGGGAGCATGTTTTATAATACAAAATATTACTTTATTGTTACAATTAATTATAAAAAAGTATAATATATAATTAAAATAAAATTTTTAATATTTCAGTTATAAAATAATAAATGTGTATATGTATGAGCATCTATATATGAATTGAGTATGTAATATTTTTTTATTTTAAAAATATTTGTTGGATAAAAATGTTAGTTTTAAAATTGATTTTGTGTAAATTTAAAATTGCATCCTATAAGAGAGAGGAGTTTTGTATATAAAATATAGTAAATGCCATATTGATTACATTTTCTTATATGGGAATGTATCTATATATGTGTGTATAATAAAAATTGAAGCACCTGTGGATGCGAATAAATAGAGTGCAAACAAAGGCATAAGTGAAAGAAAAATATAAAAAGAAGGGGAATGATTTGCATGGAACATGAGTGAGGCAAATAGGGAAAGTACGTACGTAGGCATATCCAGAGAGGATCATTAATCGAGAAACAACCTAAACTTTATGGCAGTGGTCCTTATTTTTATATTTGATCCATCACACCCACGTGTACGTAAATGCACGTATACCACGTAGGTATCTTGATCGTATATTTGATATTAATTAAAGAGTGTTAATTATTTTTCTTACACTTTTTTCCTTTTTTTAGGCTTGTTTCATATTTCATAGAGGGTGTGACAGTGATTATTATATATTCTTAATCAAATTCTCAAAAATGACCTTTGGAATCTAAGTTTTTACATGTCTCTATATAAAAAATATAGCTAAGAATCAATTGTGATCAGAAAATGATAAAGAAGGAAAATTCCAGAAGTTTAAAAAATCAATAAAATAAATCTCAATAAAATTCTTTTACGTTTTCCTTTATTAACCATTTCACCAACAACAGTTCATACTATATTACTATTGGACATATTTATTTAATTTTTTTTACTTACTTCACATTTAAGCCGTTACGGCCCTAAATTAAATGAGCATGTGTGCGATGTCCCCTCTCCAACCATCTAAGTTACTGTTTTATCATTTGGAAAATTATTGTCTTCATCAATTGAAGAGTGGACACGACAAAAGAAATACTAATTAGCTGTATAGAAAAACAAAACAAAACAAAAAATTGACAAAATGTACAATAAATTATTTAAGAAATCGTTTTAGTCATAAATCACTTTGCGCATAATATATATTTCATGATTGTTCGTATTCCTTTTACTTTAAGTACAATTTCTAACACTAAATTTTGGTTAATGAAAGCTTTTTATATATATAAATTTCACTCATTTAGGTTTTAGTTTCCTGTAATATATTTTAGCTCCGTGTCTTTCTCTAAATAAATGAGACAGTCACTTAAGACCCTAAGATTATTTTAGTTCTATTAAATAAAATCCTAAATTATAATTTTTATTAACTATAATTATTAGTGATAAATTTATTGTAACGATTCTTTATATAACCTTTCTCATATTTTTATGTTATTTTAAAATGAATTTGTTATCGATACGGTAATTATCAATTTTTGAAAAATTATCCATTTTTCTACAGTTCTGTTTCTATTACTAAGTTTAAATTACTCTTCTCCTAAGATCATTTGATAATTAACCTAATATTATTAGTTAGTCTTCGTTTTTGTTTATAATTGAATGTATGCTTTGGTAGTAGAATATTTCAGTCAATACTGATAATATTTACAATCATTCAAAGGTTTTTTTTTAAAATTAGAATAACTTAAATTTAATTTGAGATCAATTATAATGTCAGATATGAATGTTCATAAAACAAAACAATCTAAAATAAAATAAAATAAAATAAAAACTAAACCAAAAAATTTTAAGAAATTAAAATTTAGAGAATATAAAATTTTATTTCTATATTGAATAGGATTTTAATGCAATTTAAAAACTTAATTCAATCCAATTCAAACCAAACACACACAGAATTATTTACAAAATTAGATTCTCACTCATACATATATAATTATAAATTAATGAAATTGTAATAATTAATTATTTTTTATAATTTTATTCTCAAAATTACAATACTTTTAGGAATTCATCTTATTATTTTAATTTATTTATAATTTTATTAATTTTAATATATTTTATAGTTGATTTACGTCTCATATTTTTATATAAATCTTCTGTTTTATATTATAATTCACTTGACTAAAATAGATGTGTTTGATAAACAAGTTTATTTCACTTATGCCATTTTTTATACCTCAGTAAAGTATTATTGGAGCTTATAGTATAACTTGTTATATATTTGTTTAGCTTTTTTCCTTTACTGCTTTAATAAATTCCTTTTCTAATTACATTAATAATATCTTTAATTCATTATAGAATGCTAGGTGATAGAATTAATTTTTCAAATATTATGATAAATTATAATTGAAATGATGCTAAATATTTATTTATTTATTAAATTCAATTTACTATTCTTGAATTATTTTTTAATATTAAATTATTTATTTTTTAATATTACATTATTTATTTTAAATATTACATTATTTATGTTTTTTATTTTAATTACTGATACAATATTTCATTTATAACAAAGGAATAATAAAATATGTTTAAAAAGCTAATAAACCTGATATTATATTCACCTTTATATATATATATATATATATATATATATATATATTTATATATATTCATGTATAAATTTTTAAAAACATATATATCATATAAATATATATTTGTAATGTTAGTTTATATTTCTGAGATAGTTTAATAGCTAATTCTATTAAATACTTTATATTTATAAGTTAATTTAACAATTTTTAATTAAAATTTACTTATTTAAGTTTCAGCTAATAGCATAACCAAAATAAATATTAAAAAATTTTGTTATATAAGCCTTTTACATAATTTTACTTAATGCTCCAAAATTTGAAAGCATAACCTAAATTTTCCTTAAAGTTATGTCTACATTGTTTTATTTTATTCCCACATAAACTTATACATCAATAAGTACGAATCAATTCATCACACGCAAAAAAAAAGAGACGATTCATCTTGACGAACAAGATTTCAAAAAACAAAATATAAAAATATATAGAAGGAGTAAGGACCAATACTCAAATACAAAAAAACAAATATGTATAAAAAAAAAAGAAAAAAGAATAACAGGAAGGGTAGAAGCGTATTTTTACTCGGAACACAATTATTTTGCTTAAGACCAGTTCTCTCTCCAATCTTCCCCCACCAAACAGAATTTTCCGACTCAGCCACTCCCAAACAATCTATATATGATTCTTTGTTCCTAACCCCATGATTCTCGTTTACTCACCACTTCCAACCAAAGCATCATTTTCCGTTTCCGATACCCTCCACCGTGCTCTCTCGCCACGTGTCAATCCTTCATTCGCCAATCCTCCGGCGCCTGTGATCACTGCCACACACCGCTATCAAAACTCCCATCCCCTCAATCCCAACGCCTCAACCATTTCCCCTTCGTCACGATTTCCTCGTCGCAGCACCACACTTCCCTCTCTCTCTTGAGATTGAGATTGAAGCATATTAATGGACATTGCACAAGTGGGAGCCAAAGCAAGAGCTCCACCTGCATTGGATATGGAAGCAACTACTTCAACAAAGAGAAGAAAAATCGCCATCACCAACAACGTTAACACTGATCAAGACCTCAAATTCTCACCATCCTCCATCGTTCCACTTAAGAATTTCAGCATAACTGCCTCGCCGGCGCCGGAGAAACGCTTCTCCAGCCACTCCGACGACGAATCTCCGGCGTCTTGTTGCTCCAGCAACGGATCCTTCGAACTCCATGAAAACAGGATCATCACATTCTCAGATCTAGAGGTTATTATTTATTATTATGATTATGATTATGATTACGATTATTATTTATTAATCAGCTAAAATAATGTCGGCGCAGCGGTTTTTATTGAACTTGCGTTTTGTAATGTCTCTCCTTAACCTTAATTGCTTATCATTAATGTGTGATGTAAACACATTTTCAGGTTGACAGCGCGCAAGTTGAAACGTCGACGTGCAACTGCGGGGAGCAAATAAGGTTTTGAATTTAATTTAATTTAATTATTTATCAATTTTAAATTCAAAAAGAAAAAGTGCTTCCGACTTCCAATCGTTTCAAATTTTCAATGATTCCGTTCGTTTGAATTTGAAATAAAAAGGTGTGAGTATCATACATAATGGCCATCATGATATCTTCCGTTCAAAATTCTCGTAATTTCTAACTCGTACAAAATCTGTAACTCTCTGACATGTATGCATAAGCGCGCACACACACGTATATATATATATATATATATATATATATATAAATACACACACATTCATACATGCACATTCTGAAAACGGAAACATTGTGTCCGTGCAGGAGAGAGATGAGTCTCACGAGCGAGCTTCGAACGAATTCGCAAGAGGTGGAGTCAGTGGAGAAGAAGCTAACGACGAAGAACAAATCTCGCTGCGTTCTATCAACTCTGCAAAAAATGCCAACCGAATCGGAGCTCGAAGAATTCTTCGCCGCTGCCGAGAAGGACATTCAGAAACGCTTTTCAGAAAAGTAAGATCATAGATTAGTAATACATTTCCATTTTCCATCTCTAACGTGAAAACTGTAAAACAAGATATTTTGATATATATATATATATATAATTAGGCCGTGGGTAACATGGTGTGTGCATATTATATTCGTTGTTAATCTGCAGGTATAATTATGATATTGTGAAGGACGTGCCATTGGAAGGACGTTACGAATGGGTTCAATTAAAGCCGTAAAAGTGCTTCCCTTGGCTCTTCTGGCTCTTCACCCTTGAAGGAAGAAGACGGTTAAAAACGCCACTTGCTGACATTATTCTTACGTTAATTTACTTTAATTAGGTATTTTATTTGGATTCAATTATCCCATCTTTCATGCTAGGAGTACGCTTTTGTTGGGTGTACAGTTAATTTTATTTTTCTTCTATGGTTAAGGAATGAGTTCTAAGGTAAAGAGGACTCAGCTCTGTTTGTTATTTGTGTACGGGTTAATAGTTATACGGAGAAGCCAAGTCCTGTGGGGAATTATGTAAATTCCTTGGGGGTGACGATGACTGTATAACAAACGGTTCCGATAACAAAATTGTAGTCTTGAATTTCTTTTATGCTTCCGCCCCTAAAATTGTGTCTGTTTCTCTGTTTTTAACTTCGAAGGGTACAGCGAAGTGTGTCGCTGTTACCTTTTTTTTTTTTTTTTTCTCTCCTTTTTTATCTTCTTTTATCTTTTCCCATGACGTTTTTTTGCCCTTTCTTTATCTTTCTTGTCTTTTCATTGCTTTATTTTTTTTAGTGCTGATTTGTCTTTTCCCTTTTTTTAACTATGGAAAAACTTTGCCTTTTCTCAACAAACTTTCTGCGATAACTTTGGCTGGATGTTATTTGGTTCTGGAGCGTGGATGGTGAGGTCTTTAATTTCATAAAATGTACTTTATAATCCGAAAGGAAACAAAAACAACTCAATGAAAAATATTATCAAGCATACTGAAAATTTGAGAGTGAGCGAGTGAACTAGCTAGCCAAGTGGTAGAAACACGATGTGATTATTTGTACATGAGCAATGATACAGATAATTTTTTTTTTGTTATATTATTAATTTTCTATTATTTTTTCTTATTATTTTCAAATTATAATATTCTTGTAAGAATTTGTTGTAAGAATATCATTATTCTTTTAATGATAATTTCATTTTTCTCACATTCCTATTGTATTTATCTTTTTTTTTCTTTCATTCATTGCATTTATTATTATTTTCCTTGTTTTATTCTTTTATATTTTACATATTTTTAATGATGTGAAAAAATTATCATTTTTGTGTGTCTATTTATAGGGAGTGGGTGTGTGAGTTAGGGACACGTTTGAGGTGATTGGACAGATGATCTTATTTACCCCCCATGTGAGAAGAGTCTTCCAGTTTTGGAACCAAATTCATTCCACTTTCACAAAGTACAACAAAATTGGTACAGACTACAGAGTAAAACTAGAGCAATGTTATTTCTCCACTTACCTCTTTCTCGCTTCTTACATAATTTATTGAATAAATTACGTACACCACATCGTACCTCTTCGTTGGTTAAATTTCAAGTTACGAGACAGGTTGGTCCCACGAAAAAAAAGAAATTTAAAGACATAATAAATTTATACTTTTAAAAATAATAATTTTAAAAAAATTCTTTAATTAAATAAAAAATATATCATTATTTATATATATTTTTATTCTCATCCAAGCAAAGCACGTTTGTATGTTTAAAATCTACGTGTATTATTTACCGGTTGGAAAAGGACGATGATGTGACCAGGGTGGTCCTGCTGCTGCTCAATAGCAAATGGTAATGTCTCAGCGAGTTTGGGACGCTGGGAGGGATGGATAGAGGCGAGTCACCTAATTGGGCAGTCGTTTTCTTTTGTAATATATATCAAACAACTCTAATAACACAACAAAATTTGTATAAAGGTTAAAAATGTATAAAATTGGTGAGTAAATAATACTTTTGAAAAAAAATAGTAATACATCTTTTAAACATTATCTTTCCAACACTCTTAATTATTAAACGAAATTTTATTTTATATCAACTTCAGTTAAATGACTTATTTTTGGTAAAATCTGTATGTAGTCACATTAAGCATTTTAAAAATATAAAATAATATTTTAATTGTATGTTTTTTATGTTGTGCTATGTAGCGTGGAGAGAAACGTGTTTGTCCCGTACTAGCTAGCGGGCAAATGAAGGCAACGGGTTAATGCAGCACATGGGTTGAGATTCCCTGATGCGCGTGAATTTCATGATGTGGAATGGGTCGTGAGGGGAGAGACGATGGGGTACTTTTTCACACTTACAAGCTGCAAGCACCCGAGCAATTCCAGCTTTACGTTATGCAATAATAATTGCACTGCATAAAACTTATTATCATAGCGGCATAATTCGGGTGAGATCGGAATTTCATCACCAAAATCACGATATTCTTATCAAATTTTAAATTTTCATCGCCCTTTCCCTCTCTTCCTTCCCTTTCCCCAAATATCTCTTACTTTCCGGCCCCCACCTCTACAGGCTCCTCCAAAAGATAAACTATTATATACAAATTTTACATCATTGTTTTAATGCCTTTAAAGATGTATGATCTTTTTTAACTTAATGTATTAAAATTTATACAATAACCTTATACTTTTGATCATTAAAAAATATTTTAAAAGGATAAAGAATAAAAATAGATTATGTATATGTATATAAATGATAAAGATTAAAAGTTTCTGAAAATCATATAACTTCTTAAAAAAAGATATATGCAAAACATAACATAGAATTGGTGATGTAACCAAGAAAGATTAAAAAAAAAAGTATATTACATAAATATAATATTTCTCTCTAAATTATAAATTACGCTCCCCTTTTTGTTCCACTTCTTCATACATATACACGGTTTCATTGTAATATACAAGAACATCAATGGGATTTAATCATGATTTTGTCTTTTATCCGGTCAAGAATTTATAATTTTTTTTTTTTTAATTTTGTTTGATCATGAGATGTGTGTCGTGAGGGACTTGTAAATGTGAGACTTTTACCTGCAGATTATTAATATTAAGCTTGAAATTGATTTGCGTGCATATTAAGATATTGCTTAAGCCCACAAATTCAAGAGCCAACTCATCATCTGTCCTCTCAAACGTCCTTTGCTAACACACACTCCAGTTAACAACGCACATAAGACCGAGATTCTCATTAAAATAATAATAATAATAATTTTCTTCCCTAAGTTATTTCTTTTTTTGGTCTTGATCTTTTTATTGCAGCCAAGAGCACGATAGGTTGTATCTAAAATTTTTTGGATTCTAGATAAAATTATTAGAGATATTTAATGTAATATAAATAATCAATTCGCATATTATTTATAAATCCTTTATTCATAAAAATAATTACTCATTATTTAATAATTATTTATGACATATATATAGTTATAAAATAAATGAAATCTATAATAAAAAATTTAGGCCCTAACAGAATTGTATTGCTTGTCTTGTATTATTCACGGTCCTAACAGAATTTTCTTTAAGTTGTCAGTCAATTCTTAATAGTCACCATGCAATCTTCTTCTTTTTCCTTTGTCACTTATTGAATATTCATTCCAATATGAAATATGTGTTTAGATTTTTTTTTATGCTAATATTTGAGGCAATTAACCTTAGAAATTGATTGAGGCATCGAAATTATGATCCAATTAATTTTGAAATATTGGATAATCATTCTAATTAGATAGTAGAGGAATCATCCCATACTATTAAAGAAGTAATTAAAATGGCCTTACAAGTAAAATGACCTTACAAATACGTCTATCCAACCTCCTTCAAATGATATAGATATATTAAATATTACTTTTTTTTATAACATAAATATTATAATTTTATTGTTTAATTGTTGATGATGTTTTCTATTCATTCCATCATCTCAGTTACTAACTTTTTATTTAACTTTATATCATAGATCAGTTGAATTTGGATAATGATAAGGAGAACGAAATTGGACAATACACTTTTAGAAAATATAAATTTGAATGTTAAAGGTGTTGGTGAAGATTTAGATTTTTTTTTCAATGCAGAAGAAATAGTGACTGAATTTGAAACAACATTGACTCCTTGAACATAAATTGTGATTTGAGAACTTGTTTTGAACTTGTTTCTTAACTTGTGTGGTAACAAATTCTTAATTATTACTTATTTAAAATTTTTAAGATTTTAATTTGAAGTATTTAAACTTTTTAAATTATGTTAATTTGTATTTTTTTAAAAAAAGTTCTAATTATAAACTATAAAAATTTTAATATATACCGATTCAACCAGTTCAACTAGTAACTCGGTGCTTCAATTAGTGATGCATGAGTCAATACCCTTGCCATTGCCAAGTCCTAACACCATTACACCAAGTCCGTTTATACAACATTGAAGCCATCACTGGTGATGCCTTCCTCAATGGTGATTGCGTCGTGGATAGGAGCAAAGAAAAGGTCAATGTGAATGACGAGATAAAGACTCGCCGAACACAACTTGCATCCAATTTTCAGTGGCTACGCAGAGGTTCAGGATGAAGATGATGCATCCGAATTCGAAGATTCGAAGCAAAACTTGGAGTTTCTAAGAAGGTAAAGGTGAGTGGGTGATAAGCACAAAAAGTTTTCTGAAAACGTTTACTCTAACTAAATTCAAAGCCATATTCCATCATCTTTTCTCTTATTACATGATAATACTTTTACATAATATATTTCACTTAGAAAACATATTTAGTGAGAGAAATAGTTTTCTATAAGTTAAATTAATTTGTTAGTCCTTATAGTTTTTTTTTTAATTTTTAGTTAGGTTTTCATCCTTTTTTTTTTAATTCTTATAATTAAAATTTTTTAAATCAAATCCTTAATAATTATCATTATTATATTCATATAAATTTGGTCCAAAAACTTGAATTTACAACAAAATAAATTATATATTCAAAACTTGAACTTTTTATAGAAGCATTTTTCAAGAGTTTTTAAGGTTTTAGGGGTGATTCAATTCTTTTTTTTTTTCTTAATGTTTTATGGTTTAGTATATTTTAATTGTTGAATTTATTACCTACTAATAAAAGGATTTTGGGATTTGGAATTTTTTAATGAAAAAAGTATTAAAAATATTTCCAATTAAATTAAAAATGTCATATCATTGATATTTAATAAAGATATTATTATGATAGTTATTAAGGATTTAATTTTTTTAAATTATAAACATTTAATTAAAATTTTTTAAATTATAAAAGCTTAATTAAAAATACAAAGAAACTATTAGAACTAGCAGATTAATTTAACTTTTATTTTTATAAGAAGTGAGAAAATTAAAATTTAATTATACAGTTATTTATATATAATTATATATTCCATATTAAAATTATACAATTACTTAAATAAATCACATGACATTGTATTCTAATTATATTTCCTTTCACTTACTATACTTCATACACATACACAACTCTCACTTGTTTGATGTTGTCTTTAAATATATTTTAATCAATTTTTGAGACACATCCCGGTGTAGTTCTTAAAATTGGAGCTTTTAAATAACTTCATGAATTTATATTAATAAAGTAATGTCAAATTGATAGATTATGCACGTGTTTCATGAGAAAATGAATTCATCCATTGTTAGGGATGATAATGGATAAGTATGATAGTATCTAAATTTGTATTTATATTTTCTGAAAAAAATATTTATCTTCAAATTCATACTTGTCCGGATAATAATTTTAGTTATCCATTTTTTTTACTGAAATAAAAAGCTAAAAATTAAATAAGTAAAATACCAAAAATATTAAATCGGTTTTTTTAATGTCAGAAATAGAACGATATAATTCAAACTAAATTAAAATTTATACATATAGTCTTGAAATAACACTTAACCTAAATTTTCATAATGTGCTTGTATAAACAATAAAATAGAATTATTTTTATAATTTAAAATATTATTTTGGTTTAATTAATTAATTTATTTAAAAAGTAAATTTGAAGAGTAGTTTTTGTTTATATTATATATATATATATATATATATATTTATGAAATTATATTTCTTTAAATTATAAGAAGAACTTTAAAGCTAATCTAATTAAAAATAATTTAAATTTGATTTGTATTTACATTTTGAATCACACCAATTGAATGACTTCACATGCACAAGTAGGAAAATAAAATTCCTAAAATTGATTAAATCCAATCCAGAGACAGCCGATATCGAACCTTATTTCTTCTCTGTTTAGTCTTAATGGGCTTGTTCAACCATTATTCCCCCGTAACTAGGGCCCGCTGCACTTTCCTCTCAAGAAAAAAAGAGAAAAGCCCAACCCAAACAAAAGTGAGACATTTTAATATTTTCGTCACAGTCTTTCAATTTTAATTACATCATTAATCATTGAAAAAGTAAATAATAACCTAATTCTGAAGAATATCATCAGTGAACTAAATTAGTTTGTAAAAGTATTGTTTGATATAAAGAAAAGATTAAAATATTTTATAATTTATAATTTTAAAAAGGTAAAATATTTTAATCTTTAAAATATCAGAGAAATTATTACTGTTAATTAAAAAAATATAGAATATTCTCTTAAGTTTATAAGTAACATAGCAAACACTTTTTTAAATTTATTTAATGATTTTTTTAAAAATAAAATAAAATTTTAGCAATTTGCTAAAATAAGAAAAGCTCCGCAGTACCTAGACTAGAAGAAGACCAATTTTGATCATGTTAAAATAGTGGAGACGATATGCATTTAAATGGATTGCACTTTATCTTTTGCCAATATCATTCCTTTTGTTGTCACTAGATACGACAAACTTAACACAATTAGATTTATAATGAAATTGCCTGAGATGAGGAGTGAAAATTTTGATTAACGCCAAATAGGCACTCAACTAATTTGAGAATGTCTTCAAATTCAATCTGTAACGAACCTGAACATGCTCTTTTACATCAATCAATCAACAATTCAAAGGAATTTACAATGATTCATTGACAATAGAGAACTAAACTAGTTTAGTTTGTCTCAAACATTCTCATCTGATGCAATTGATACTATGGACCTAGTCGATCTTCCAGAAGGATCTCTCTCCAGATAACGAGTAACTAAAGCCTTTTCAGAAACATCTGCATCCACAGAACGAGTAACCAAAGCCCTTTCTGTCTCATCTTTCTCCAGAGAATGAGTAATTAAAGCTTTAACAATCTGACGAAACTTCCTTCTGTAAGTTGGTAGCTTTGATACACCTCTTATCATTCCAATCATCCTAGCCATGGATTCATCATTGTACACACATCAGTCAAATTCTCTAATACAATATGTAATAAGGTAGTTTTGGGCTTCTTTTCTGTGCAAAAACAATTTTAAAAGTGTATTGTTACGTTTTTCAGTTAAAAAAAAAATTTACTTTTTAATTCATTAACTAATACCATGTGCATTTTACTATTTTTGTATGGTTAAAATCAATCTTAAGGGCTTATATTAACAAAACTAACAAAACAAAGATTGATTCTCTAACTCATTAAGATATAGGTCACTTACCTTCTGGAAATTCCCTCAATTTGAGCAGCTCTAAGAGCATCAGGAATCATTAAACCACCATTATCCCAATCCTCAAAGCGTTGTTTGTTGGCTCCAAAGAGAACAACTTTTTCCAAGTATCTCACTTCACCTTCCCCCAGTTTGATGACCCTTATCTGTTCCTTAAGAACCATTACAGGATTGAAGAACCAATCCAACAACTTATCCTTTGGTCTGTTTAAATAGGTTATCTCAAAGTCATCAAGTAGCAAAACGCCACTTGAGTTGGCTTTGATGGAGAAGACAAGTGTTTGTAGAAGTGAAAAACAAGGCAAGCCAACACCAACTATGGAAGCTTCGTTATGATTCTTTCCCCTCAACCATTCATAAAGGTCAGCTGCTGTAAGCACATTTGCATCCAATAATTCCTTGCCTCTCATCTCACAGTACCTCATCATATTTCCCCATATCTGTCAAATTATAAAAGATCATATAATAAAATACAAAGGGCACAACAGATGCAAAATAAGATCAGAAAGATGTCTTCAATGTCATATGATGTTGCAACTTAGGAAATCGGCAAAAGCTTTTGTATACAAATTTTCCCTTTACATGTTGACGCCTCGGATGAGAATATACACTTTCTTTTGTAACAATTTCATTGGTTAGCAATTCCAAAGAGTCCTTTTGAGGCAAATCTAGTACACAGAATGGAGTATATCAACCATAATATAAACTTTGCACGTCATACAGAATGATATGTGGAAAATGAAGTCAGACATCATCAACATCTTGAAACATAATTTTCTTTTTGGTCAAATGAAGAAGATATATGTGTACCATCTCGGTTATTAAACCAAAACAAAAACCCTTCAATCATTTCAAATCATCTGACTAGTTCAGAAGATGATATTTATTTAGTACCTTTTCTTTGGTTTTGTTCTGTTTTATGAATATTTTTCTTCATTTCTTCATTGAGCAAACTTTCTTGGTTTGACTTTGGCATATATGACATCCATCCAGCTACTAGTGTAATCTAAGCATAAAACATTTTGATCCTAATTTTTTGATTGAAAATGGAAGGCAATATAGCACATTCTATTTGCCTATGTTTCGAACTCACCTATTTCACTTGACAAAGAATTGCTGGAAGAAATACATAGTACTTGAGAAACATTAGGAGAAAAAGTGCTTACCTGAACCATTTTCACTTCTTGAATGGTCTCTCTAACTGATCTTGAAGGAGCTAAGCTTGGCATAAACATTGCAGGTGGCTCTGTAGAAGCATTTAATTTGCTTCCACCTACACTGTTTCCTCGAACGGAAAACTCTGATGATTGAGAAGCCTTTTTCTTTCGATACTGGGGCCTGGCTGCATGCAAATTGAATGCCGATGTTAACGGAATAAATGGAAGATTGAAAAGAAAACTAATTGGGAAAAAGTGTACTTTGGTAAGAATGTCCCCTCTCGAAGATAGAGCCAATCATTTGTATACTCATCAAACTCAGCAACCATTGCAATCACATAAGCTAAACCTCTCCGGAAAGATCTTTCCTACACCCAAATGAAGGTTAAAAGGTGAGATCAGATCAACGATTCAGCCAAGGAAAATAGGTATGAAGCACAAAAAGAGTGATCAAACCTGATATACTATAACAGATGCATAAAGTCCAACGAAAATGCTTGAGAAAATAGCCAATAAAATGCTAGCTATTACAACAAGTGGCCACACGAATATTGTCAAACCAGCAATGGGGACACAAACTGTTTCAAGGAATGGACCTTCTCTGCCAATCAAATCATGCAAAAGTCTGAACCAGCCCCTGAACAACAGGTAGGGGCTCTTTACTATAGCAATTGCAGTGAAAAGAGGAATCTCAACAATTAGCCCCATTATCCCAACAATGACACATCCAGGAACATGAATTAACCTGGAAACCAAGTGAGATTTTTATGAAGTTAAGAACTAAAATAATCCACGTTTAAAACTTAAAAGACTATAGTGGATATTTAATCGCAATAGCGGTCTTTATTTCGAGTTAAAAACGACATGAGAACACGGGTCACATAAAAGAATAAGTGACCTTATGACCTTTACCTTAGCCTCTGACGCTCATCTGAACTAGGTGATTCACGTAGTTCTTTCAAGTAACTTGGATATGAATGGTAACATATATCAGCAAAGTCCCTAACTACCGTGCAACTGCCTTTGATAGTTCCCCACGTTCCGTCCTGAGTTCAGTGAGAGTTCATAAAACTATGTACTAACAAATAAATGCAGAGAAATCTAGATCATGGCAAGAAATCCTGGAACCTCACCACAACACAGTGCGAGAATTTCTTGGATTCATTATCATGTCTGAAGGCCTCAAAAGTTGAAACCCAAGGAGTGAAAAATCCATATCCTACCCCAATAAGAACGCTTCCAGCTATGCCTAAACCCAACCATAAGCCAAACAACGCAGGCAAAGCAATCAAAATCGCAACTTTCAAGGCTGCGTCAAACATATGAATCCTGAAAAGACAAACCAACCACATGTATCATGTCATATAGAAAATTTGACTGAAATTCCAGAGAAGGGGTACAAATCATGTTACTTTAAAAGAGTGTAGACAGTCCAAGCTACATGTGCAGGAAACAACCCCAGAATCACTGCTACGTTTCCTATGATCAGTATCAAACCAGCAATAGGACCCACAATTAAGCCTGCAGAATTTGAAGAAAATCTCAGGAACCCACCATCAAAATTCACCTTAGACTTCACAACTTAAAAAGAAAGCAAGAAAGAGAACGAAAATTGAAACTTTGGAAGTCAAAATTTAATCATGAACCGCAAGAGTATGAAATCAAAAGAGCACCTTTTAAGGCTCCAAGGAAGAAAGCATAGAAGAATACAGAGACCACATAAAAAGACTTCGTCCAACCCTCCATAGAGCCTTAACTGTTATACTAATGAAGCTTAGAAGTTGAAAGCTGCAACTGAAATTAGAATGAAGCTTTGAATGCAAATGGAGAAAGGAAGTCAAAGGAAAGCAGGGGTAATAACTATTAAGTTAAAATGAGATGGCAAAAGAGAAGAAGAAGAAGGAGGCGTGGGCTGCTAGAATATGACAAAAGCAGAGAACGAAAACCGAAACTCAAACTAGAATCAAATCAATCATTCAGGATGTTGGGAACCAAAAAGTAACATAGGCATGGAAAAGCAGGGACAAAACAGATTCAGAGGCTGCCGATGGTTATGATGGAAGATATAATGATATATAAAATTGGAATTATGCAGCCATGTCAACCTGTATTTTTTGAATTGTTTCGTATAATGTTTGACCAGACCTCTGTGGCTCTGTCCCTATATGAGGAAAACTTTTGTTACAAGGTTCTCTACTCACAAATTACGTGATATATATACATGTTTTTTTAATTCTTTGTAAGTGTTTTTAGGATATTAATTAATTAATAAGTAGTTAGTTCAATAAACATTTACTTAACTTTTTCCATAGAAAGTTTTGGATTTGAATATTATATATGAAAAAAATATCGGCTCAAATAATGTTATTTTTACTATGCTATAAATTTTTTTGGCTCAAATAAAATTATTTTTATACGATATCTGTACTTTAGGGGGAAAAATATACTACCTTGCATTTTTCGAATGTGTTTAAACTAAAAACAGCAAACAATCCAAACTTACTCAGGATTTGACTATTAGTTGATTACATTATTGTACTCGCAACTTTTTTTATATGAAAAATAAAATATATAAGATAAAATATTAATATCACTAAAAATGGTAAAAACTCATTTTTAAAAAAAATTAAGATTTTATTTTATTAGATAGAGTTAAATTAAATAAAATTTAAACAGAAAAAATAATGAAAAATTATTTGAATAAATACATATATAATTCTCTTTATATCTATTAATTTTATATATTGTATAACGATTTAAAATTAAAGTAAAATTGAATAATTTTAAGCAAGAGAATTTAAGAAGAATAAAACAAAAATTAAAATGAGATAATTAATGTGAAAAAATGACATTACTTAATAAAAATAGAATAAATTAAAAAAATATTAAAAAATAAGGACTGGGGTTAATAAAACATTTTTCTATTAAAAGGCGAGGACTAAAATTTAGCATATAAAGATGGATATGAACCTCATAAGATATTTTATTTTACATATTATGGTGCATTTGGATAAGTTTCAGGAAAAGAATTGTTTCATATCCATTTCACATAATAAAGCTGTTTTAGATATGTTTTAAAAATCTTTAGTTATATACATTTTTAGTTAATATAATATTCCATTTCTTACAAGGCGCACAGAGACGTGCATATGTCAACCGAACTAACCTGAGTTTTAAATATGTTTTCGAATGAAAACAACTTAGCAATACATAAGGTCAAGGGAGAGAAGGTCTAAATAAACACTAATATGAAAATGTGTTATTTAACAGCTGGTTTGACCATAAAGGTTAGCTGGCTTGAATGGTGGAATTCCTTTCTTTCTTTAATCTTTTCTTGTTTTAAAGGACTATGTAGGGTTGATGATAGCTTCGTGCCACGGTATCGTCTAGAAGATAATTCCATTTGTTGAAAGAAAAAATGACCCGAAAAACGTAAATTGGAAGGTGCAAGTCAATTTGGTTCATCAGCGTTGTAATTGGTATGGAGAATCTTGACGACACTTTGAATGGGATTTCTCACAAATGGTCCATCCTTTCAGCTCTTCACAGCACAGAGGCCAAAAAAATCGCATTTTGTTGCTTACTTTATAATGGCATCACATAAAGTGTTTGGCATTAATGTCAAGACATTTGTTTTTTGTCGTGTTTTCAATAATTCATCAGCATAAGTGCCGGACATAACAGTGAAACTTACAGGCTGCCAAAATTGAACGCCAACCATGGCAGCAGCATTGTCAACGTAGGCATCATAAATAGTTTGGTCATGTTACTTTCATACTATTACTTCATTTAGTTTATCTGTAAGGTATTTTATAATAAGTAAATAAATATTTTTTATCATAAAACATTTTATAATTTTTATGTAATATTTATTTTTTATTTGTCTTTATTAAATTAAATTAGAAAAAGTTTAAATTAAAATAACAATAAAATATATATTGATACTAAGATTAGGTTCAATGATATTATAAAGATAAAATTATCATGTTAATATTTTTATAAAACTAAAAAATTCACTTGTTTTAACTATTTTATTTGTTTGTATAATTAAGTTGAAGATACTTTATAAAAAAAAAAAAACTAGATTGAGTATTTTGTAATTTTCTCACTTTTCCTCTTGTACTTAGTACTAATAACGAGAATAAAAAATATATATTTCTTACTTATTATTTTTGTTTTAAAAAATATATGAATAATTAATTGAAGAAGAAGGAAAAATATGTTTAAAAAAATTATAAAATGGTCCTTTTGCAAATAGACTATTCTCAAAATAGTCTCTTTTATTACTCTACGATATAACATCATGAGTAAGAATTTGATTTGTACTACGAAAGTCTCATGTAGTTAGTTATATTATTGAAGTGTTTTAATATTGGATGAAAGATTCTAACACAACTTAATAAATCTTAAATCTTAAGGAACTTTAATTTTGTTAGCCAATCAACCTCCATCTTAAGAGTCTCTGTGTTTCTCATCTTTTAGTAAATGAGTAATGATGCTAGAAAGTTTTGTTGATCATCATAATCTCGAAGGACAAATTCAGACAAAACTCTTTACCAAAAGGTCATGTTAAACATCTCAATTGACAACTCATTTAACAAAACAATTGGTGAGAAGAGAGGGCAAACATCTTAATCGACAACTTCATTAACAAAACAAATAGGGGGAGAGTAAGGAAAGTGGGGAACATTTTTAATTATGGAGGAGTGAGTAGTAAATGAGGATGTAAATGCATGTTCATTATGGAGCCAATCTGAACGAGGACAAAAAGAAAGTAACACTAGTAACAATAAAAATTAAAGAAAGATTGTTAATTCAATTTTCATTTCAAGCTTACGTGGAATAAGTAAATGTATAATATTTAGGATTGGTTTAATTGAGTTTTTAAGATATATGACTCAACTTTACTTAGTTGTAGTGGATAAATGATAGCTTCTAGTGAAAGTAAATAATAATTTTCACTCCTTTTCTCTCATTGATTTTCTTTAAGAGGTAATTGAAAGGTGAAAGAAGTAATTGCAAGCATTAACAAGTGGATAAACAACGTTTGAAAATTTATTCGAACTCACTTATGCATAGCCATACAATTGGACTATGAACACATGAAAATGTCATTGTTCATAATGTTTTGTCTAAATTGTTAAACCTCAACAAAAGGAGCCTGCAACTTAACTATCAAATTTTATGAACATATAATAAAAGTGTGTGGTCATGCCTAAATTCAAAATTCATTATAAATATATCGATAAAGTTGAGCATAATATCTTTTGTCATACATATTCTACATTTGGTCTCTTGCAATTATCTTTTTATTTTAGAAAAGGTTCTAAGAGCTAAGAGTGGTGATTCCATCACCATCTAGTTCTTTCTAGTTTCTTTTTATTTTTTAGTTTTTTTTCTTTAATTATATGTAACAAAACTGCCTTTGTTGGCGAAGGGTGACCTTTTATTTGAATATTATGTAATTTGATTTTGACATTTGAATTCATTTGATTATATTTTTCCTATATTTCAATTAAGTGATTTCTTAGTTTCTAACGGTTTTTTATTTTTACCACCTTTAAATTGATATCAGATTCAATTGAATAATTAAAAATTAGTGATTAAGTTAAATTTAAAGAATTTTATCATAAAGACTGTTATCCTAGAGATAACTTGATTATTATGAGATCTTGTAAATTCTAACATATAATGCTTATTTTAATTTTAAAAAAAATAAGGTTCTTATTTTGGGGTAAAGAATTGAATATCATGTGATTAAATTTTATTTATACTTAGAATTTGGTCCCTAATTGATTGATAATAGTTAAATTAAAATTAAACTTGAATTGTAAAAAGGGAATAACAGAAAAATTTTAACATTAATCTTTCAAATATTATAGTTTGTTCAATTGTATTTTGCATTGTCTTTTATGTTTTTATTTCATTTTCATTTATATTTGTGTTTTGTTTATGTTCATCATGAATATTAGTTTAATTCTTAAATCTTTTATGTGAATCATTGAATAAAGATTATAATTCAAAGCACATTCTTTCATTTGATAGTTTAAATGAAGATAATCCTTTGAATTGGTATTTGTATCTAATTTAAAGTGTATGAAACTTTTCTTTTTTCTGTATGAATTAAAACAATTCGATGTACTGATCATTTTAAATTCTCTTTTTCAAAATTTTTACATTTTTAATTCTTAATTCATTTTAAATCACAAATTAATTAATTAATTAAATTTTTTAAAAACTAATTTAAATATGAGATTTAAAATATTATATATTAAATTATAAATTTTTAGAAAATTATAGAAATATAAAAAAAATATAATGAAAATATTTTTTAAATTTCTATATTCTTATAAATTTTTCAAAATTTTATATTTAGATTTATATTATTTTGAAATGTCGTGTATAAAATAAGCCTCCTAATTATAATTTCAAATTTTGAGTCCGTGTACGGAATACAAAATTGAGGTTGGGTTTGAAGGAAACTGACGACACACGTGTCATTAAGTCCAGATGTCTCACTCATATTTCGTACGTGAAAGATCCTAAAAGTTGTCTTTTCATACTTCTACCTCGTATTCCATTCCATTGCAAAATTGTTTGCAAATACCAACCAATTTTCACAATAACACCAACCGAAAGACACAACACCAAAGGGGGTGGATCCAACAGCGTCAAAACGTTAAACGCACATTTTGGTGTTTCTCTCTCATCCACCTATCATGTAAACTTTTTCTCTTTTGATCAAAACCACCACCACCCCATAACCCATTCAAGGCCTTTTGGCCTCTCTCTCTCTCTCTCACGGTTGCATTGTAGATTCCATTCTCTTACGTAAGGGGGGTGGTGGCTGTGGAGGAAATCCAATCCAATTGATGTGTTTCTGTTCATTCAAAGCAGAGAGGCTGAAACAGGAAAAGGACACGTCAAAGGTTGAAAATGGTGGTGGTTGATGATCAAGCTGTGACTGTGGCATATTATGTGGAGGAGCTGCACGAGGATGTTCCTCTTTCTCACTTCGCTAGGATCTCTACTTTAAACACGGTTTTCTATCTTCTCTCTATCTACGCACTTCACAAAATATGCCAAATTTTGCATTTCCCCCCCATCTATTGTGTGTTTTGCATATTGAAGAACAAGGGAATGATGGGTATCTTCATTTCTTATTTTCTTGATCTTCTATAATTTTATGAGTCATGACCAAGCTAGCATGAGATTCCTTCGATTCTGGGCTTTTCTTTGGGCCTCCTTTTTGTGAGTTAATAATGATGAGTTGCAGCTATGTTGCATTGTTTGCAGGATAAGCAAAACAAGACAGTGGAGAATAAATACAAGCTCTTGAACAATCATATAAAGCAAGTAAGATTTGGAAGGGATTTTAAATATTTCTTGCTATTGGATTTGATGCTGGATTTGTAAGATCTTGCTTTCATGAATTCGTGTAATTTTCCTGTCCATAGTTTTTTTTGAATTTTGATAGCAAATGGGGGAAAACTCAACACTAAGCCAACAAGGTTGAGAAGCAAAATCATGTTTGTCACCTGTAATGGAGTGAGTTTGTATCACAAGACACTTTTATATGAGACTACAAACCTCAAGTTGTGATGACACTATAGAAGTGTTCTTTCTCTCTTTAGGTTATTGTGATGTAAACAATTCGAAATAGTAACACAAAAGTATAAGTATGCTCTAAATTTGCTATTAACGTAGTCAATCAACTAATCAAACTTTCTTGATACCCAATTAACCATTAGCTATTAACTTCTCTGCAGCATATTTTCTTGGCCCTCCCGTCTATTTCACTGTTTCTCCATATCCTTAGACCTCGGTTCCAATCCTAACTATTTACTTTTAACATATTTCACCAAAAAGTCTTGACATTCCATTAGACACTCTTTCATCTTATTCTGTTGAGCTCCGTTGTTTTTCAGTTTTTTGAACTCGCCAATTTGTAATGCTTTGCAACAATGATCATATGAATTAAATGGACTGCTGTAATTCCTTGTAAATCAAAGTGGTTAATAATTCTAACAAATGCTTCTACAGGGAACACCTGGTGATGCACAGATGTTTGCAAGGTATGTAGAGCATCATTAATATTGTTTAGGTACTAAATCCCTCCATTTTGGAAAGTGAGTTACTTGAGGTAAAAAATTAGAACTCTGTATTTGCTTCCAGTTCTGTTAAGGTTGCAACAGATGGAACATCCTCTCGTGGTGAGGCCTTGTCATCTGCTGTTATTCGAGCAGAGCAGGTCCAATCAAAATTGCAACCGGAATTCCCTAGTTTTGTGAAGTCCTTGGTCAGATCACATGTTGCTAGTTGTTTTTGGATGGTAAGCATTTCAGTAGATTGAAATAAATGTGATTTTATTATACAAACCAAATTTTATGAAGTTTTTGAATCATGTCTTCTGATTTATTTTTATAGGGGCTGCCTGTGGCATTTTGTAAGAGACATTTGCCAGAAAAGGATACAACAATCATTTTGGAGGATGAATCTGGTAAAGAATACAAGACAAAATATATTGCATGTAAGACAGGATTGAGTGCTGGTTGGAGACAGTTTTCTGCTGTACACAAATTGCAGGAGGGTGATGTGTTGGTCTTCCAATTAGTTGAACCTACCAAATTTAAGGTAATGGTTTTTTGGTTTAACTGTTTCTAATGGTGATTCAACATTTCACTGACAGAGTGAGTACTGTGTTGCAAAGAAAAAGGGTCACAATAGCATGTATATCACCGTTCAGTAACACTTCTGCAGTATACTTAGCTTTGTGTGTTAGTTACATTCATACATTACATGTGTAATTAATACTAATCATAATAACAAATAAAAAATTCCTGATAATTGATCATAGTGCTTTTGGGAACTCAATGTTAGGAAGGTCAATGTAATTGACAAGATATTTCCCGTGGGTCCTAAACACTATATCCAAATGATGAAAGACCATGTACTAGGGCATTAGCATATGCGTTGACACCAAAACACAGTGCTATCCATCGTGAGTCACCGAGTGATATGGAGGTTTTGATCTCTCTCTTTCGCTTTCCCTCTTTTAGTAATGGTTCAGGGGTAAATCCCAATCTATCTTTTGCCCCCTAAAATAAAAATGACTCAGAACTCATGGCAGATTGGGGTTATCAATGGATAGAAATAAATTTTTCTGAAGGAATCTTTGTCAAAATAGAAAAACATAATAAGCTATCCCAAAGTAAGAGATGTTTTTAAGAAGGCTGTTATGCATGAAAATTTATTTAACTCATGCAAATATTTGGGAGCCTTTGGCACTCACAAGATTAGTAATATGCAAAAGTGTGAAAAGAAGGTGGCTGGTGGTTTGGTATACTCTGGGACTGTTATCTCCACCTTATGGGTTATGACTGTCACATGGAGTAGTTGTGGACAGGCAGCAAATTCTTATGTTCTAGTGATTGTTGTGCATGTGATTTTACTAAGCAAGCACTTGCATCTAAATCAAAATATAGGCCATATGGAGGCAGCGATGACTCTCAATTGCTATTAGGAAAAGTTGGTATTGCTAAAATGGCAATCGTTTTGTTGAGGCTATTCCATGTTATCCCCTGGACCTCCTTAGGAGATTATATGGTGGCACTTGGCAAAATTGGTACTGCTAAAGTCACAATCATGCTATGATTGTTAAGGCTATTATCCCTTGTGCCTCTGCTAAAGAATATTCCAACTCCATGACCAGGCCCATGCGTTATTCTTGAGAATTGGGTGGTGGGTGATTGTCTCTTAATATATAGATATATATAAACTCATACCACTTATTTTTCTTTGCAGGTTTATATAATAAGAGCTAACAATTTGAGGGAACTAGATGGGGCACTTTCCCTATTGAATCTAGATAGTTGCACAAAACAAAAAGTGGGAGGCAAGACTTGTTTCTCTACTCTTCTAGTTTCCAGTATTGCAACAATGATGAATCATCAATACTTATATTTGTTATATAGCATTTAACATTCTTGTTTTTCCCCTTCATGTCTCAGGCAAAGATAATGCGGATACTGATGCTGTAACATGCAAAAGCCCGAAGAGAAAACATGGTAAAACCGTGCCACTAAATGTACAAAAGAAAAAGAAGACCAACGTGTCAAGATTGGGACCTAAGGCTAGGCTGTCTGAAGAAGTAGAAGAATCTGAAAACGGCAGTGATGACGCTCTCTCAGAAGTACTGGAGGGATTTAAAATGCTTGAATTCAAAGATGTTAAAGGTTTTGAAAATTTCAGCATCATAGTTGATGGAATGCCAATAGATGGTGAATTCTCTACTGAAGTTCGAAACAAGTACTATAGACTCTGCTGCAGCCAGCAAGCTTTTCTTCATGAGAATCTCATCAAGGGCATGAACTATAAGCTCATTGCTGGAATCATATCTGAAACTGTTAACATTGCTGATGCCATAAAAGTTAGTGTCATTTGCACCCCACGTTTCGAATTTGCTAACTGGGATAAAACATTGCTTGCCTTTGAGCATTTGGGAATGAATGTTCAATTTTTAAGAGTTCGGTTGCGCCGCCTTGTGAGCATTGCTTATGAAACAGATGATGCCTCAGAGACCAGAAGATTCTTGGCTTATAGAAATGAACACAGTCAAGCAGATGATGAAATAAAGAACATGGAAACCAAGCTCCAAGAGTTGAAGGGTGCTTGTGATGATTTTGGTGCTTATTTGGAGAGTTTGAAGTGCAAAGCTGAAAGCTATCAGCTCGAGTTTCAGAAGGAGGTTGCTGCTCCATGGTGAAACCTCATAATGTATTCTTTGATTCTATGAATGTATCTATGTATTCTGTAATTGGCTCGTGTCGTTGTCTACACTTTATGCATTCTGTAATCATAGACGGAATCTCGACTAAGATATCAACATATGTAGTGTATGTGCAGTGATATATGAGTGGCAAATAGCATATCCAATTAGCCCTGAATTTTTTTGTACGTTTGTTGTTGAAGGTCATTTGGAATATACCATAACTCAATCAGGAATATTGGAGAATTTCTGCCGGTAAAAATTTGAATTAATTACACTTTTAATTCTCATACTCTACTCCATTCTGGAATTTTATTCTTTCTATTTTTAATTTCTTACTTTTAATTTATGTAGTTTTTTAATTGTTCAAATTTAGTCCTTCATTCTAAAATTTTATTTAATAACTAGCAAAAATACAATATATGTATAGCATATTATTAATTTGTATAAATTATAAAAAAAAGTTTAAAATGTTTAAATAAATTATACAAAATATAATGAAAGTTGTTTTATATTTTTATTTAATCATTTTATATACTTTTCAATAAATTTGTATAAATCAATGATATATTATATGTTTGCTATAAAAATTTGAGGTTAAAAAAAGTGCAATTAAATTCTTTCACTTTGATAAACTTAAATTAATATTCAAATTACAATGTTTCTATTTATCGAGCTTTATTTATTTAAATATTAAAAAATAAATTTTAAATATACGAACTAATTAGTAAATGAATATCAACTATAAAGATTAAATATGCATTTTATTTTTTTTCATATAATTATTTAAAACCTAAGAATTAAGTTAAAAATCTTATGACAAGACTGCACTTTTATAACTAGGGTTCATATCCCATTTTTTTTCTTTTTTCTTTCCAAAGGCTAAAAATGAAGAAACACCTAAGCACCGTAAATAACATGGTGCACGTGCACCTTAAGCAATGCCCATGGTTAAAAAAAAAAAGCAAGGTATGGTCCAAACGAACTAAGACGAATGCTCAAAATATATTATTTTAAAATTTATTAAAAATTATAAACTGAGATTTGTTAAATTAAAATGAATTTTCATATTTTTTAATGAATTTTAACCAATTATAATAAATAGTATATTTTAAAAATACATTAAAAGCATTTCTCATGAACTAAGAATTAATGGATTTGCACGACAATTTGGTCTGTAATTTGTCTAAACTCAATGGCTTTTATTATTCTGCTTGTGCTTGCGGACAAACGATGATTGTTTCTTCTTGTGGGGCTTAAGTTTGTCTTCCCCTTTGCTATTGTACTAAAAGACACAGAATCTTTTATCCAGTTAATAAATTAATAATATATACGAATTTTGCAGTTCACAAACTAAAAATTAACATTCACCAAACTAGGTTTAGGAGATATGGTGAAATGAATAAAATTTGGCTAAGGTTTATCGTAATAGATTTAAGCTATTTTGAAGTAAAAAAAATTGTATAAAATGAGAAAATAAGGCTTATTATGATTACGAGTATTGTTATCCATCGTCTTAATTAGTTAAAGAATTAATGAATAATTTTTTTATTAAAACATTAAAAATTATAATCAATGTACATTAACAATATTTTTAATACTTTTTTTTTCAAATATACGTCTTGTCTCCCCTCAAACCGAACATAACATATTCAAAAGTCGAGATAAAAAGACAGTGATAAAGGCTTCCTATATTAAAAAAAAGTTTTGTTAACTTCAATTTTTAGAAATGAGTTTAAATATTTATAAATAAATTTTTTTATAAAAAATATATAATTATTATATTAAAATTATAAAAATAAAATAAATATTTTTTTAATAAAATTTTGTTATTATTAGCTGTTTATTTAGTTAACAAAATTTATAAAACATATATCAGAAGTTTTCTGTGCGAGAGATTTGAAGAAGATGGAAGAGCCACTCCCTTTTTTGTAGGATCCTCTATATTCAACAGTCACCTTATATGTCATTAGAAGTTCTTAGCTGAAGGTGAAATAGGATTTAGCAAGGCCTAAGTCTAAAAAGAGAAGAAAGAAGACAATATTTTTTATGGGCCTTTTCCATTCAACTGCAAATAATTTGTACAACAAACAGTCAAATCCTAACTCCCAAGGAGACCAAAACAAATCAGATAACTAAAGAAGAATCAAAGTTGACAAGCAAAAGCCTAATAACATAAGCTCACTACCTTGTTTTATCCGAACCCGCTGAAGGGGAAAAAATGCAAGAAAAAAGTTGACAAAAAAAAGGCAAAACTTCATCTTCCCTCAGTCACCCTAGTAAAAGAAGAAAACAAAAAGGTGAAAATAACAAAAGGCCCATTCCTCTACAAATCCAATACCTTCTTCAGTCAAAACGCTATAATCCAATCTCAACATCCCTGCATCTTGATCCTCCTTCATTCAACAGCTCCTGTATTATCCCGAAAAAATATTAAAAAGAACTACGTGTTAAATCAAGGGGGAAAAAACTCAGAATATTAAAAACAATCAAAATTTGACATTTAAAAAAAAACGGGAAGGTTGATATCTAACCTGTGAATTAATATTAGCGCTATCCCCTTCAGGTAACAAAGCAGACCTTCTTGCTTCAACTCCTGTGTGAGAAGAACCTTCACTCTTCTCAACCTTCTTGGAAAGGTGACTTTTTCTAAGACCCAGAAACCCTTTCCACCTTGTGGATGACCCTTTGGGTGGCCTCAGAGAAAAGTCTTGGTATTCATCATCATCCACAAGAAGCTCTTCCCTGAGAGTGGTGGTGGCCCTTTGCACCTGGTTGTTGCAGTTATCTTTGAAGGGTAACAACCTACCCTTGAAGAAAAGCTCATCGGCACTCATCATAGAGTAGTTTGTGACAGAAAATTCAAAGTCTGAAGACACTGCAGGTGCATCTGATCTCGAGCTTCGTTCTTGCTTGGTGGTGGCTTGTTGGAGATCCACAAAGTCGTTTGAGAAAGAAATTCTGGGGCTCACTGGGGTGCGGTGATGATGATGGTGATGGCGATGGTGACCCTTGTGCTCCGAGTTGTACATGTCTAAGCATGCCATGAGCTTTCACAACAACATGGAAGTTATATGAATGCAAAATGGATATGGAAGAGAAGCAGAAACTAGAGCCTAATAAATTCTAATCGGGACCCCCTCTCAGTGTTACATCTTATATCTTATAACTCCTCTCTTTCTCTCTCTCTCTCTCTCTCTCTACATATATATATATATATATATAAAATTATTATTTTTCATTTTTTCTTAAAAGAAAGAATACATAATTTTCATACATTGCCATGCCATGAGTTGATGTCATGTGATGAAAAAAAAGAACCTTTTTCAAATTGAGATTGTTTCAAGAGTAAGAGTGTATACATATTTAAATTTAATTAGTTAAGATTGCCATACTTTTTGAATTAAATTAAATGCTTTAGGATTAAACTTACATATTTTTAATGCATCAAGGATGTACGATAAGAATTTATATAACAAATAAATTGTATTAAAATTATATATTATAAAATTTTATACTTTGATAATAGTATTACGTGTTTAGATTTGTACTAATTTGTTTGAACGTGAATCTAAATTAACACATAACAGCTTATGTGTATAGAATGCGCTTACAAGGACAACTGGACAACTGCTGTGAAAACAAACGTATTCCAAATGTTATAATTTTTTATAAAAAATGCTATTTACTAATTTTTATGTAATTTTTTAATACACGTTCTTGTGAATTTTTAATTTGGCTTCAATTAAAGGTATGTATGCACTGTCTCTTGAGTTACACCAGCTCACACCATGGGTGTAAATAAACCCGCTGGTTCTTTCTTTTACTCCACGAGTAACTGATGCAAAGATTGCCCTTTTAGGCCAATCCCTTCTGCTTCATATTTATTAAATGATAAACATAGTTTTGGGAAGATTCTAAGAACTTGCACTTCTAACTATGTCATCTCATCATCCAAAGCATCATTTTTCAAATTCTTTTCATGAACAACTTGGATAATAAAATATCCATGATTCTATAATTCTATTGGCGAGTTGGTGGCCGTCAATGCCTAAACAAATATTTTTTTGGATGCAATTTAACATGTCTATTGTTCTCTTCGTTTCAACCTGTGAGAGAGGTACAAAATTATTATTTATGCTAAATACATAAATAAATAAGCCAAAGCAATTAAAAACTTAAAATTGACATGTAGCAAATATGTTAACATTGGAGGGTTAATATTGAACGGTGAAAACATAGATGAGTATGTTAAAAATGGGAGGTAAATAGGGTGGTTTTAGAGATGGTAAATTGAGCACAGTTACCATTTGCGGTAAAGAGAGGAACAACAGTGACATTTAAAGGAATGGGGTACAGGGTTTGTGGAGGGTTAAATGCTTTGAATGTTTTGAGCTAAGTTTTAAGGCCTCACAACACAGTGACACAGAAGCACAGTGGCAGAGTTGCATCTTACAGAGAGGGCCAGTATGCATGCACAGCTATGCTAATTGACCATGCTTTGACTATAAAAGTAACAAAGTGACCCCCTGACCCGGGATATTGCCTTTGAATATTTTTTATGCCAAATTTAATTCTAACTCTAAAGCGTATTATATTTTACATGGATAAAAAAGGTTATATTCACCTTTTATGAGTTTAAAATATTAAAAATATTTATTATATTTTTAACAATTTTTTAAAATAAAAATAGACTACTTTTGAATGTTTAAACTAATTCATGTTGAGATTAATAAAAATTCAAATTAATTTGCAACTTGGCCGGCTGAAACTCCTGGGGCACTTAAATTAATGTTATCACTGAATTTACTAATAAAGGAAATTTGAGAAGATGGATTAATAAATTTGCTATTTGGAGCCACTAAGATAAAGTTCAAGTGATGCATGATGTTCATATCCAAAATGGGGTGCTTGCATTAACTGGCCATAATGAGGCATTTGAATATGCTTCCTGTGCCAAGTCTCCTCATGTTGTGTTCTGTGAGGAATCACGTGGCCTCTCGCAGAACCCTTCACTTCCTAAGCTAAACAACTCTGGGCTTCATAAACTCATAAAAATGTTTGTATCTTTATTTTGTAAACTTTCCTTGAGAGGGGCTGAATGGCTTTGTGACCCACCTTGTGTTTTTGCCAATCATAGGGAGGAAAGGAAGCAAATGCACCTTTTGAATTTTTAATCACACTTGTTACTTATATTGCAATTGCAATTTTTGCAAATGACCTGTGATTTTAAGTTATGGATCATTTTTGTACTTTGAACATAGAGAAATGGGATCATAGTTTTGGAGCTTTGTTTATAACTAGAGCTAGAGCTGCTCAAGGATCAAGAGGGTTGGAAACGTGCTAAAGGGTGACAGGGTTCAAAAATTTTGACATGGTTGTCACTCACGTGGTTGAGCCCTTTCCAAGTGGCCCCTCTAATGGGGTTATGACACTTAGTTTATTTCCACAAATGATAGCCTTCGAACATGCAGCAGTCAAACACTATTGGCAAATTCTTTGAGTTAAAAGGCTGTTGGAATTGGCCTGAGTAGCTGCATCCAGGTCTTGGTCTCCCGTTGTGTTAACAATAACTTGTATCTTATTGGTTGCAATACTGTCCAAAGCTAATTTTAAATTTCATTTTTGTTTATTGAACAAATAAAAATTTTCATTTTCGTTCTAGTATTTATCGTTAATGCTCATTTTTCAATGTCAGATCACTACAAGGGTTAGCTGTTTAATTTCTATAATATGTATAATCATATGATAAAACGGATAATTTTTATTAAAAATTATAATATTTAATTTAATATACTAAATATATTAAATTTTTTATTTTAAATAAAATTTTATTATATATGATTTATCTTATGCAATATATTATAGATCAAACGATTGTAGTACAATATAGACAAATTTAAATATAGAATTATAGTTATTTCTAATGTTGTTCTTGTATAAAATTGTACTTTAAAGTTAAATATATATTATTAAGATAAAGTTATATATAATTTTTAATTTAATTTATTTTTTATATATAAAAATTATTTTTTTAATTTTACTATAATTTTGCATAAACATGTAGTATATCACTTTTATTTATTTTATATTTCCATCCATCTTTTAATTAAATGTATTTTCTTTCTTTAGTTACTAATAAATTGATTATTCTTTCATAATTTCATCCTTTGAATCAATATATTTTTTATTTATTATTTTTTTAAATTATGTTTTTTTAGTTTATATAATACTGCACAAAATAATAAATTATATATAATAATTTTGTATTAAAAATAATAGCATTTAATAGTATCAATGCATTAAATTATATTAACTTATATAATTTTTAATAAAAATTTATTATATATAATTTATTATTTTGTACAATAGGACAAGTTAAAATATTTTTTAAAAAAAATTATTTCAGTTTTAATTTCATTATTAACAGAAATAAAAAATTTATTTTATTTCATTCTTTAGTTTTTTTAAAAATTCATATAAAATTAAATATTTGAAAAATATATTAAAAATAATTAATTTAAACCAAATTAAAATCAATTTTATATACAAATTAAACCAGACCGAATTAGAAACGCCTCTCTACGCAAGCTAATCCAATAATGTTTATTGTTTGATTTGCTTCCTTCCAGCGTGAACCAGTTAATACTATAGTTAAACGATGAAATTAATTAATTTTATCAATTATTATAATAAAATAAATCAATTTTATAAAAATATTCATATTAAAAAAATATTAAAATTATTACAAATAGTTGAGTGAGAATTAAATGTTATAATTATGTAATAAATACTTATAAATAATAAATTTTTATAAAATTAAGATTATTATTTTTTAAGTTTTTATTATGTGTTCTTAAGCATATATTAAAAAATATTATTTAAATAGTTAGTTGATAAAAAATATATTTAATTAATTTTTAATATTTTTAAATAAAAAAATTTAAAATAAATAAAAAAATACATAAATGACATTTAATATAAGACAAAATAAATATAATTAATGTTAAATTGTGTCAATTTATTTTTAATGTTATCATTAATATAGTGTACATATTTACCATGTAATATAACACATGAATTTATACATGTATATTATATTAAATGAAGTAAAAAGTTATTTTAGGTTTTTAAATTAGAATGTAGATTATTTTAGTTTTAAATTTTATAAAAAAATTACTTTAATTTTTAATTTTCTAAAATAATATATATTTTAATATTTATATAAAATAAATAATAAAGTAAAAAAACTAAAATAAATAATTTTAAAAATATTAAAAATTAAAATGATATTTTCATAAAATTACAGACTAAATTATTTAAAATTTACAATTTTAAAGATTGAAGAGAATATTTACTCTTATTAATTAAATAATTTGACCTTTAGAACTGCACTTTAATTAAACTTGCTTGACCAAGCAAATCATAAAATACATCAACCAAGTTCATCAAAATACAGAATATTGTGTGGTAATCTTTTATAAAGAAAAAAGTAATAAAGTAAGATTAGTTAACCATTAAACTAGCGTACCAAGTGTTAACCTGCCCTTTTATATATTTTCTAAATTCATTCCTAAATTTTAAGAAATGTTTATGACCATAAAATAATAATAAAATTTGATTACTTAAAATAGAAACAAATAAAATAAAAAATATTTATTTATAATTATTTAAATTGAAATAGCTTTTAAATTTATTTTTAATAATAACTTTTTTGTTACATATTTTATTTTCACTTTATTTTTAAAAATTTCTCAACAACCAAATACTATATCAAGAAACGAGAAATTTTATGAATGTTGTACCCATTTTAGAAACAGCAAGTAAGGGATTGTTTTTAAGTCTATTTAGTTTTGCAGTAAAATAGATATAAATTCACGTTTACATTGCTGCCTATTGTCTTTGGCAGTAAAATTCTCATAAATCTACTTTTATTGAACATTATCTATCATCACTTTATTTCAAGTTTATGTTTATAATTTTTAGATGTAAATAAATTAATAGTTTATATATACAGAGAAAAATATATTCCCTATAAGTTTTTTCT